TAAGGGTATCAGTGAATTTTTAAGGGACAATAACAAACTAAAGTCCAAGAGAATTCAAGTAAGAAAAGACTAAGAACAAAGTTTCCTCTTGCTCTTACAGCTACATAAATAGTAACTGAAGGGGAGGACGTGAAAAAAACAGACCAGAAAAATTGATTTCTACATAGATTCCAAAAACTAATTCATACCTAATGTTCAACAATATTACTCTAGGTTACTCAAAATTACATTCTGACTTTCAAGAGCATGTGCCAGGATGAGGTAAGCAGCACATCAGTATCAGATCTTGAAGCAGTTGCCTAACACACATTGCACCATTGGATCCAATTCCCAGCAATATACAGGAAGCACAGGACCCTGGGCACAGGCCTCAGAAACAAAGTAAAAAGCAAAATTTATCTGATAGCAGCTCCGCTACTACCCAGGACACAGACCCTAGAAGTGCACTAATAAATGTTTCCCTTTTTGAAGAAGAAGAAAAAAAACTCTTTGGGGTTAGAAAAAAGTTTCACGTATTTACAAGATGGGAGGTTGAAACAGTGTCTCACGTAGTCCAGGCTAGCCTCAACTCACTATGCCTACCAAGGTTTTTGTAGATTCATTATTAATGAAATAACTTCAAGGCTCTCAAATTAGTACTTGGAGATATTTTAGTACACACAAAAGAAACATATGGCTGGAACTATACAGATGATACATCCCTTAGGTGTGTCTTTTAGACATTTCCAGAAGTTTGACTGAAGAGGGAAAAACCACCCCTTAAGTTGGGAAGTACCATTCTATACCTGCAGTTCAGGATGAATAAAAAGAAGAAACTAAGGTAAATATAGGCATTCATTTTTCTAATTCCTGACTGTACATACAAAATCCTGCCTATGCCTTGCCCCTATGATGATGAATTACAGCCTCAAATTATGAGTCAAAATAAGCCCTTCCTTAAGTTACTTCTTGTCTAAAATAACTAACACAAAACAAAAAAACCTACCTCATTTCCTAAAATAACAACACTTATCACAGTATGCAGTAGCATCTTTAGAAAACACTGTAAATTAGCTCTGCAGGGTCGATAACATCTCAAGATCTGCATCTAATAACAAATTTCTCTTTCTTTGTTCCTACTTCCATACAGATTGCAAGAATATTTTAATGATAGCTATAGCACTTAGCTGATGTGGGAGTCCCCTCTGTGTGTTGCTTGTACTGGTTAATGAATAAACTGCCTTGGCCTGATATGGTAGAACTTAGGTAGGCAGAGAAGACAGAACTGAATTCTGGGAGGAAGAACACAGAGTCGGAGGGACGTCATGGATCCACGGCCGGAGATAGACGTGCTGAAACTTTTCAGGTAGGCCACGACCTCATGTTGATTCACAGATTGATAGAAATGGGTTAAGTAAAAATGTAGGAGTTAGCCAATAAGAAGCTAGAGCTAATGGGCCAAGTCGTGATTTAACTAATATAGTTTCTGTGTGATTATTTTAGGGCTAAACTAGTTAGGAGGCCAGGACGAACAAGTGAGCCCTCCTTCCTATAACACTTAGCATCTGATATTCTCTCCAAAAGACAGAGATAAGAACATTACTCTAGCATCCTTACCACTTGCTAATGCAATAGAAATTGCATCTATGATAAAAAACAGCAAAAACAGGGCAAATGAACAATGTAAAGGATAAACTGCTTGCTATATACTATGAATGTAAGAACCATACTTAAAATGAATTCTTTCAGTATTGTACTTGCTAGCATCACCATACATTATTTAAAAATTTACTTCAGGAAAGAGCATAGAAAGTGAATCACCCAATAGAAATATGAAAATCAAAATGTTAAACATGAAAGAAAATGTGAATACCCAATCAAAACCTATTGATTTTCATTCCATTTTTCACATTAATAAACTTTAGTACTTTCAATATCAAATAATTTATTTATCAAGCTTTCATCAAACACATTATAAGTAGTTTTACAAAGCAGCTACTTAATAAATTTTTTAAAAAATTGGATGATAGAGATAGGATTTTTCACAGTACTGTTTTTTCTTTTTGGTTTTTTGAGACAGGGTTTCTCTGTGGCTTTGGAGCCTGTTCTGGAACTAGCTCTTATAGACCAGTCTGGCCTCGAACTCACAGAGATCCACCTGCCTCTGTCTCCCAAGTGCTGGGATTAAAGGCGTGTGCCACCACCGCCTGGCCACAGTACTGTTTAAATCTAGAGAAAACAGCGTAGGAAACTACTCCAAGAAATAGGGGGACAGGATTTTTCTTTGAGAACTTCACAGGTGAATACAATATATTTTAAACATATCTACTCCTCCATTCCCTTCAAAGAACTTTTTTAGGATATTTTTCACTGAGAATTTTGCAGCTAATTACAATTTATTTGATCATATCACCCCACTCCTCCTCAATAAAAACAGTAAATAATTTTAATTACATTCACATTTGTATACAGAATTTGTCACAATTCATCTCAAAAGTTAGTAAATTTCATTACTGGGAAAATATTTCACTCAGCACTGGAATCTTCAAAATACAGCCTTGCAAAAGCCTTCCAGATATACATAATAAACAGTAGCTATCAGCGCACTACAACATTTATGTATAAATAAAAACCTATGGGCAGTGGTGGCACATACCTTTAAATGAAAATCTACTTTTTAAAACATTCTGATCATAATAAGATTTGCAGTACTTTTTGGTTAACCCTAAATCTAGGAATTCAATCTCAGTATACCCGGAGAAGCAAGGGTCCTACCTGTCTACAGAGCGGCCTGGCCCCACGCCAAGTTCTGGGCGTGCACTGGGTAAGAGGTAAGACAATCTGTCCATCACTGAGGACGCCACAGGTAAGGCAGCAACATTTTGATTTATTTTCTTGAGTTCATTTACAATGGCACTGGCAATAGACTTCAATACATGATGAGGAAGATGAAATGTAACTGTGGCCCACTGAAAGAAAACAGAAATATAAGCAAAGAGATACTTCTAAACAGTTTTAACGAAAACAGTTTTAATCAAAACCTTACCTTGACCTGATCAATTAAAAAGCTATGTATGTATCACTAATGTCAATTATATCATCAGTTTATCGTTTACAGCAAGAATTTGCCATTAAGTAATAAGCTAAATCTTTTTTTTTTAATTACCAAGTTACAGAGAAGCAAGCCAGTTCTCCATCACTGAGTGAATAGATAAAAGTATGGAATGCAGGTGAGTGCACAAGTACATGCAGTAGAATATTGCAAAGCCTTTTAAAAGACAATAACTCCAAGCCGGGTGGTGGTGGCACATGCCTTTAATCCCACTACTTGGGAGGCAGACGCAGGAGGATCTCTGTGAGTTCGAGGCCACCCTGGTCTACAAGAGCTAGTTCCAGGAAGGCTCTAAAACTACAGTGAAACCCTGTCTCGAAGAAACCAAAACCAAAACCAAAAAAAAAAAAAAGGTAACAACTCCATTCATGACAAGATGAATAAAAATTAAACTTCAATAGGCAAGGAAAAGGAAGACAAGTATAAATGATATCACTTACATGTAAAGTTTATTCTCTGTAACTCATAGAACCAAAGATTAAAACGACTGTTACTACAGCTGATATGAGTATGGAATGGGATGCTGGTTAAAAGTACAAAATAGCAGGAAACAGATGTGATGAATTAGCTGGTGATCATCTATTTAGCAACCTATTACTTCAATAATACTATTATACAGTATGCTGGCCACATATAACAACAACCTACTGTTGGTTTCAAATATTCTCACAAGGAAGAAAAAATAACTATAAAATGGTAAAGAGGGGCTGGAGAGATGACTCAGTGGTTAAGAGCACTGCCTGCTCTTCCAAAGGTCCTGAGTTCAATTCCCAGCAACTACATAGTGGCTCACAACCATCTGTAATGAGATCTGGTGCCCTCTTCTGGCCTGCAGGCAGACATACAGACAGAATACTGAGGATACTGTATACATAATAAAGAAATAAATAAATATAAAAAATAAATAAATAAAATGGTAAAGATATAATGTCTCATTTTATTTATTCTCTCTACAATACGAGCATATATAAAATATCACATTGCATCTCATAAATACATGCAGTTATTTAATTTTTTGTTTGCTTGTTTTTTTGAGACAGGGTCTCTCTAAAAAGCCCTGTCCTGGAACTCACTATATAGACAAGGCTGGCCTAGAACTCACAGAGATCCACCTGCTATGAGTAAAGGTATGTGTCACCACACTCAGCATGTTGAATTTTTATTTAATAGAAGGCAGAGAAAGGCAGATCTCCATGTGTCTATGGCCATCCTGTTCTACATAAAAAGTTATAGGGCAGCCAGGGCTACAAAGACTGTCTCAAAAAAAAAAAAAAGAAAAGAAAGAAAAGAGTAAAACAAATCTTTTTAAAACTATTAACATTATTCTTATTCAATATTATTGCTAAACAAGTTATACTAGTGGAAAACAAAGAGACAAAGGGGAGATAGACTATGAAAGTTCCAACTATATTTTCCCAGAGAAATAAATCTATATATTAATTTCATCTTCATATTCTGCACCCAGATCAAATTAAAACTGTCACCAATCAGTCCAGTACACACTAGGCATGATAGCATAATACTATTGAGCCATATAAATAAGAAACTTTCATAGTAAAAAAATATTTAAATTGAAAAAAAAGAGTTATATAGCTCAATGGATGGGTGCTGGGCTGGTGCGCAAAAAGTCCTAGTTTCAATTTTCAGCACTACAAGATGGGGAAAATGACTCCACAGGAACTGGCACTAATCATAGGAGTTTGGATCCCCAGAAGTTCATATAAATGCTAGGTAGGCCTGCCTCTAAGTTCAGTCTGGGAAGGCAGAGTTAGGAATCCCCAGAGCAAATAGACTTGCAATCCTAACCATAAGGGTGAGATCTGGAGCAGAATCCAGGAGCAAATCCAGTCCTGGAAGCCAACCCAGTCTTGGGACACTGGCAGACCAGGACTGAGCCAATGACCTGACTCAGAGCCTGCAATATCCACCGGAACTGGAGTGGGACTGAATCAGCTACCTAGGACAGAGAGAGAACAAGCTCTACCAGGAGCAGAAATCAGGAACAAACCCAGTCCCAGGAAATGGGTGGATGAGGACTGAGCCAGCAACCAGATCCAGAGTCAGCAATCCCCACAAGAACAGGTCTAACTCCAAGCCAGGGACTTCTGCAGGAGTAGATCCAGACCAGGATTTACAGAAACCGATCAAAGACCCTACAAAAGCAAGACTTGAACAATCAAATATGGATGAACCAGAAGAAAATGACCTAAAAAATAACCTCAAGAGAATGTTTGAAATTCTTAAAGATGAAATGAGAAATTCCCTTAAAAAAATGGAGGAAAAAACAAAAAAAAAATGGAAGATATCAGCAAATCACTTAAATAAAACCAAGAAAACCAAGAAACAGAAATCAAACATATAAAAGAAACTATTCAAGACTTGAAAACTGAAATAGAAATAGTAAAGAAAACACAAGCTGAAGGAATTATAGAAACAGAAATCATGAGAAAAAGATCAGGAACCACAAATGCAAGCATGATCAGCAGCATACAAGAAATGGAAGAGAGGAGAATCTCAAGTGCTGAAGATACAATAGAGGAAATAGACTCATCAGTTAAAAAAAAAAACATTAAATCTAACAAAAGATTAACACAAAATATCCAGAAAATATGGGACACCATAAAAAGACCAAATCTTAGAATAATAGGTATAGAAGAAGGTATAGAAGTTCTATAATAGGTATAGAAGTTCAACGAAAAAGCACAGAAAATTTATTTAACAAAATCACAGAAGAAAACTTTCCCTAAAGATACGCCTATGAAGATACAAGAAGCTTACAGAACACAAAATAGACTAGATCCAAAAAAAAAGTCCTCTTGCCACATAATAATCAAAACATTAAACATACAGAGTAAAGAAAGAATATTACAAGCTGCAAAGAAAAAAGGCCAAGTAACATATAAAGGTAGATCTATCAGGAGACAATGAAAGTCAGAAGGTCATAGTCAAGCATTATGCAGACATTAAGAGACCACGGATGCCAGCCCTAACTACTATACCCAGTAAAACTGTCGATCACCATAGAAGGACAAAACAAGATATTCCATGACAAATCTAGATTTCACCAATATCTAGCCACAAACCCAGCCCTACACAAAATACTAGAAGGAAAACTCCAACCCAAGGAAGATGGCAACTCCAACAAAAACACAGACAATAGATGATCTCATTACAGCAAATCCCAAAGAAGAAAAAAATGCGCACATTAACATCACCAACCATGAAAACTAAACATCCCTTAATGTAAATGAACTCAACTCACTTATAAAAAAGGCACAGGCTAACAGATTGGATACGAAGACAAAATCCATCCTTCTTCTGCATACAAGAAACGCATCTCAACCTCAAAAACAGACATTGTCTCAGAGTAAAGGGTTGGGAAAAAATATACCAATCAAATGGACCTAAGAAACAAGCGGGTGTAGCTATCCTAATATCTAACAAAATAGACTTCAAGCTAAAATCAGGCAAAAGAGACAAAGAAGGTCATTGCATATTAGTCACAGGAAAAATCCATCAAGAGGAAACTTCAATACTGAACATCTATGCCCCAAATACAAGGGCACCCTCATATGTCAAAGAAACACTTCTAAAGCTTAAATCATATATTAAACCACACACACTAATAGTGGGAGACTTCAACACTCCCCTCTCACCACTGGACAGGTCAATCAAACAAAAAATGAACATAGAAATAAGAGAACTAACAGATGTTATGACTCAAATGGACTTAACAGACATCTATAGAATATTCCATCTAAACAGAAAAGAATACACCTTCTTCTCAGCACCTCACGGAACTTTCTCAAAAACTGACCACATACCCAGTAACAAAACAACCTCAATAAATACAAACAAATTGGAATAACCCAATGTACCTTATCAGATCATCATGGTTTAAAACTAGAAGTCAACAGCAATACCAATTCCAGAAAACCCAAAAACACATGGAAATTAAACAATGCTCACCTGAATCATCAATGGGTAAAAGAAGAAATAAAGGAGGAAATTAAAGACTTCCTAAAATTCAATGAAAATGACCACACAACACACCCAAATTTAGGGGACACAATGAAAGCAGTGTTAAGAGGAAAGTTCATAGCACTAAAAGCCTACATAAAGAAGCTAGAAAAATCCCACACTAGAAAATTAACAGAACGTTTGAAAACTTTAGAACAAAAAGAAGCAAACTCACCTAAGGCAACTAGAGAGCAGGAAATAATCAAAATGAGAGCTAAAATTAACAAAATAGAAACAAAGAAAACAATACAAAGAATCAATGAGACAAAGAGTTGGTTCTTCAAGAAAATCAACAAAATAGACAAACCTTTATGCAAACTAACCAAAAGGCAGAGAGAGAATGTCCAAATTAACAAAATCAGAAATGAAAAGGAGAACATAACAGACACGGAGGAAATACAGAGGATCATCAAGTCATATTTTGAAAACCTGTACTCCATAAAATTAGAAAACAAAGGAAATGGACAACTTTCTGGATAAATATCACTTACCAAAATTAAATAAAGACCAGATAAGCAAATTAAACAGACCTATAACTGCTGAAGAAATAGAAACAGTCATCAAAAGTCTCTCAACCAAAAAAAGCCCAGGACCAGATGGTTTCAGCTCAGAATTAATACCACTACTCCTCAAATTATTCCACAGAATAGAAACAGAAGGAACTTTGTCAAACTCTTTTTATGAGGCTACAATTACCCTGATACCCAAACCATAGAAAGAATACTAAGAAAGAGAATTACAGACCAATCTCACTCATGAACATTTGTGCAAAAATACTAAATAAAATACTGGCAAGTCATATCCAAGAACACATCAGAACCATCATCCACCATGATCAAGTCGGCTTCATCCCACAGATGCAGGGATGGTTCAACATATGAAAATCTGTCAAAGTAATCCACCATATAAACAAACTGAAAAATAAAAACCATATGATCATCTCATTAGATGTCGAAAAAGCATTTGACAAAATACAACATCCCTTCATGATAAAGGTCATGGAGAGAGAAGGGATACAATGACCATACCTAAACATAATTAAGGCAATATACAGCAAGCCAACAGACTACATCAAACTAAATGGAGAGAAACTCCCAGCGATTTCACTGAAATCAGGAACAAGACAAGGTTGTCCACTCTCTCCATATGTATAGCTCTTGAGATCCTAGCTAGAGCAATAAGACACCGAAGGGAGAGCAAGGGGATACAAACTGGAAAAGAAGTCAAATTCTCACTATTTGCTGATGATATGATAGTTTACATAAGTGATCCCAAAAATTCTACTAAGGAACTTCTACAACTCATAAACACTTTCAGCAATGTAGAATACAAGATTAACTCAAAAAAATCAGTAGCCCTCCTGTACACAGATGATAAAAGGGCTGGGGAAGAAATCAAGAGAATCAACACACTTCAATAGTCACAAATAGCATAAAATATCTCAGAGTAACTCTAACCAAACAAGCTGAAGACTTGCATGACAAGAACTTTATATCTTTGAAGAAAGAAGGTGAAGAAGACACCAGAAAATGGAAAGATCTCCCATGCTCTTGGGTAGGCAGAATTAACATAGTAAAAATGGCAATCTTAACAAAAGCAATCTACAGATTCAACTCAATGCCCATCAAAATCCCAGCAGAATTCTTCAAAGACCTCAAAAGAACAGTACTCAACTTCATATGGAAAAGCAAAAAACCCAGGAAAGTCAAAACAATCTTGGGCAATAAAAGAACTTCTGGAGGCATCACAATCCCTGACTTCAAATTCTACTACAAAGCAACAGTACTGAAAACAGCCTGGTATTGGCTTAAGAACAGACAGGAGGACCAATGGAACCGAATAAAAGACCCGGATATCAATTCACACATCTTCAAACACCTGATTTTTGATAAAGAAGCAAAAAAATATTAAATGGAAAAAAGAAAGCATATTTAACAAGTGGTGCTGGCATAACTAAATATCAACACGTAGAAGAATGAAAATAGACCCATATCTATCACCATGCACAAACTCAAGTCCAAATGGATCAAAGATCTCAACATAAAGCCAGCCACACTGAACCTTACAGAAGAGAAAAGTGGAAAGTACACTTGAACGCATTGACACAGAGAACCACTTCCTAAATATAACCCCAGCAGCACAGACATTGAGAGAAACAATTAATAAATGGGACCTCCTGAAACTGAAAAGCTTCTGTAAAGCAAAGGACATGGTCAACAAGACAAAACAACAGCCTACAGAATGGGAAAAGATCTTCACTGACCCCACATTAGACAAAGGTCTGATCTCCAAAATATACAAAGAACTCAAGAAATTGGACACCAAAAGATCACACAATCCAATAAAAAAAAATGGAGTACAGACCTACACAGAGAACTCTCAACAGAGGAATCTAAAATGGCTGAAAGACACTTAAGGAAATGTTCAACATCCTTAGCCATCAGAGAATGCAAATCAAAACAACTCTGAGATTCCATCTTACACCTGTAAGAATGGTCAAAATCAAAAACACTGATGAAAACATATGCTGGAGAAGTTGTGGGGAAAAGGGAACACTTCTGCATTGCTGGTGGGAGTGCAAGCTGGTACAACCCCTTTGGATGTCAGTGTGGTGATTTCTCAGAAAATTAGGAAACATCCTTCCTTGAGACCCAGTAATACCACTTTTGGATATATATCCAAAGGATGCTCAATCGTGCCACAAGGACATGTGCTCAACTATGTTCATAGCAGCTTTGTCTGTGATAGCCAGAACCTCGAAGCAACCTAAATGACCCTGAAAGGAAGAATGAATAAGGAAAATGTGCTACATTTACACAATGGAGTACTACACAACAGAAAAAAATAACGACAGCTTGAATTTTGCAGGAAAATGGATGGAGCTCGAAAACATTATTGTGAGTGAGGTAACCCAGACACAGAAAGACAATTATCACATGTACTCACTCATAGGTGGTTTTTCATCATAAAGCAAAGAAAAACAGCCTACAAACCACAATCCCAGAGAACTTAGACAACAATGCGGACACTAAGAGAGACTTACCTAGATCTAATCTACATGGGAAGTAGAAAGTAGAAAAAGACAAGATCTCCTGAGTAAATTGGGAGCATGAGGACCACCATAAGGGGAAAGGCGGAGGGGGGAGCAGAGAAAAATGTAGAACTCAATAAATATCAATAAAAGAATGTATAAAAAAATTTAAAGCAACAAAAAAAAAGCAGAAATGAACATCCATGAGGTCACTAACAAGAAGACTAGGGACTATCATGTAATCAATGGCTTTCTAATACAAAACTATCTCTGAAAAGTATGGATCCACCAATCCACACCATACTAATTTCTCAGGTTCCTAAAGACATAAGTGGAAGAGAAATGGCACAAGCCCAGTGAGAAATTACCCACAATAATGATGTTCCCATGTGAGGACCATTAAGACAGGAAAGACCTAAAAGCCCCTGAACATTTCATTCCTACAAAAGTAACCAAAACAGTACTGAATCCTAAGGAAGTTTCTGAGATTAACAACTAGTTTAGAAACTTGAAAAGTAACGGGAAATAACTAACCATCTCAGCACCACTTAGTCTCCTGTGTTGGCCTCTGTACAATTTCAATAATCTTGAAGAATGACTGTGGATTATAAAAAGGTGTGGTTGTACACATCTTTAAAGCCAGCACTCAGGAGTCCGAGGCAGAAGGATCTCCGCCAGCCTGGTCTACAGAGTTCCAGGACAGCAAGGGCTACACAGAGAAACCCTGTCTCAAAAGAAAGAAAAAGAAAACAAAGAAGTCAAAGGGAAAAGTCTACACACAATCTCAAGAGAAGCAGGAGAGGAAATAAAATATGAGTCATCTTTCTCCACAGCCTTTCCAATACTGCTTTAACAAATCTGTATGTAAGATGCCAGGCAAGAAATGGAAGCTATGCACAAGCCCAACCACATGAATTTCCTCACCAAGACTAACCAGGCCACTAGATATTTTTCAGGGGAGAGAGCCAGTTAGCCAGGTTAACTAACCTATACTAAATCAATTCAGCCAGACTGAGAAGCAATCTGTTTCACTGTAACAGATGCATATTGTACCTGCTCAGTTCACGATGCTTCTTCCATAATATCATATGGTATGGAGAACAACAGAACGTCTTCTGTACCACGTTGGTATTCTAGACTTCACCTCTGACCAAGGAAAGCATTTCAAAGAAGAAAAAGTAAAGTTCCAGCAATGGGCTCTTGCCCATGACATTCACTGTCTTACCATGGTATCCTCAAGAAAAAGGTGGCCTAAGAAAAAAGGTAATCTACAATACAGCATCACTACTAGCTAATACTAACTACAGTAACACTCCCAAAAGTCAGAAGTCTTCATCAGAGGACTCTAATCACAGGCTCAAAACACAAATTAGACACAACAGTGTATTCCAACAAGCAAACTATTTAACAGAGCTAGTCATAGACTTTTCTTCTTTTCTATGCTTTAAGCTACATAGCTCATTTTGCCACAGAAGAATATTACACCAAGAACATAATAGTTCTACCAAACTGGTTACTGAGACTGCTGCTTAGCAATTTTAAGTTGCTTCTGCTATCGAACGAACAGGCAAAGAACACCACAAAACCACTGAAATCTCAATTTTATCTTGTACACATATATCTCTCGTAAGAGAGACAGAAAAGGCTAGTTAGAACATTTCTAGAGGAGGAGGGCAGGAAAAGCAACAGGACGAAGCTTCGTCTACCACAGCCCCAAATGCATTTTAATTCTTACCTTAGCAACTTTATGGTTTGCTGCGGTCTCATGAGATGTATTTTTTAAGCCATCTTTCAGTTGTGTGATGAACAAATCATAACCTTCTGTACTAGAAACATCTACCTTTTCTATACATGCTGATAAGAGCTGCTGTGCCTAATGATTAAAAAGAAACAGAAAATTAAACACAATAAAACAACCAGATTTCCTTCAGCTAATTTGTGGTAGTTTTAACTATACAAAGCTTAGCCTTCTAATTAATTTTATATAAACCAAGTTAACCATTTAGATGAGGTAAAGCAATGTATTCAATGTGGTAGCCAGAGGGCAATAAATCAATACAGCAGTAATCATAAATTAAACAAAAAATAAATAAATGAATAAACATGCTGAAACTATGAGCAAAAGTGAAACATCAAGTAAACTTTTAAACATAAATACAGGATTCTTCAGTAAGCACAAAGTACTCATGGTACACAAAGCTATTAAACAAATAGCACAAAAGCCCTCAGCAATGCTATTCATAAAGTAAAAAACAAGGCCAAATATGTTGGCTCAAACTATAATCCCAGCACTCTAGAGGCAGAAGCAGATATATTTCTCTGAGTTTCAGGACAACCAGGACTACGGATAAGCTTGTGTCTCAAAAGACAAACTAAGTAGAGAGCCAAGTATGATGGCTCATGCCTGTCTTCCAACATTTGAGAGGTGGAGGCAGATGGATCAAGAGTTAGAAGTCATTCTTGACTACAGTGTAAGCTGGAAGTCAGCCTGGGCTACATGAGATGCTATCTCAAAAATTACTAATCTCTTTCTGAAGCTTGGTATGTCATGAAACTAAATTGTGAATATGAAAGGGGTTTGGAAGGGATGAAAAGGGGAAGAAGAACAGAAGGGTAGAGGAAAAGGTGGGAAGGGAGGGGGATACTAGGGAGAAGAAGAGACAGCCAGAATGAACACAAGTGAAAGAGAAAGGAGGAGAGGAGGATAAAGAAAAGTCTCCTATGACTTGAAAATGATGGGACTTGGAGCAACTATCTACAATTCACCAGCCAGGTATTGAAGCTGGCAGAGAGGGCCCTACATCCAGCCTTGGGCTGTTACTACCCATAAGTCATCGTGTTTATTGATTCACTGTATTTTGGAGTCTTTGTCACAACTGCTTATCACGTACTAAAGAACAGTTCACACCTAAAACACTACTTCAACAAACACCAATTAATTATGCAGAGAACAACAGGTATTTAAAAGGGTGGTTCATGACTCAATTCTTTGTTTTTATGGGTGTAACTATACAATGTCCTTTAAGCACAACTTATAAACAATGCCCTAAAGGACAATGTAATTTCACTTAACACTCAAAGGTCAGAGGTTACATTGTGCAAAGGCACTCAGTGTACTTGTTTCTTTCTACTTACCTCTGTGACAGGAAGTTCAAGCTGAACCACATCATCCTGCTTTGAAACTGGAGTTTGCAGAGCAGTGTCTAACAACAGGATTCCATTAAGGTCCTTCCTACAACCTACTGCATAATCATCCACAAATATAACTTTATCCACAGCAGAAATATACTGACATTTCACCTGTCCACCCGGTTTAGCTGTTAAAAGAACAAAAATTCAACAATTAAGATTTTAAGACCAACAATCCACCAAAAAAAAAAAAAAGTTCACAAATCAATTAAATATGACACACAATTCTGGGTGAAAAGCTTAATTGAAAAAAAGTCTATTAAGACCACGATTAGAGCAAACTGGAGTATGAACTATAAAGCCAGTCTCAATAGTAAACTGATTAAAACTCGGTAGCTACATCGCTACATATAGAGAAGCATGGCAACACACAACTTGCAATCTAGCACACAAAAGGCTAAAGCAGAAGCACAAGTTAAAGCAGTCTATTCCACAAAGCTAAAATACCACACCAAAGTGGGAGGGGGACCTAAGTACATTTACATGAGACAAAGAGCAAATGTGGTAAATACCTTAAAGTGATAGAACTGAGAAAAGGGGGCTGTAGGAAAATTATTTTCACCATACTATTCTTTATTCTTTTCCCCTGAAGGAACAGGGTAGAAAAGGTAATCTGCAGGCACAGATTCAACCAGAATCATTTGTTAGAGACTATTCTTATCCCCAAATAATAGATTTGACCCCTTGTCAAAATCTTAAAACCATTATGTGCAAAGATATGCTTCTCGGCTCTTTATCCATCCCATTATATTCTATATCTGTCTTTACAACAGTATCACACTGTTTTTATTTGCAGTTCTAAGGACCCAATCCAGTACTTGTGCATACCATTTAAGCCCTGTACTACTTACTGAGCCATGTCTCCTTTCTCAGTACCACAATGTTTTAATTACTGTAGCTTTGCAGCTTAGTCTTGAAATCAGGAAGTATAAATCTACCAATCCCCTTCCCCCAAGTACTGACTGAGCTGTATCCCTAATCAATTTTTGTCTTTTTCAAGATTGCTATGAATATTCAAGGTCCCTTGAGATCCTATATGAATTTTAAGCTATATTTTTTTCTGTTTTTAAAAGAAAGAAAAAGTCATTGGGATTTTAACAATTGCAATGAAGATACAGATCACAGTGGGAGGTACTAAAATCTGGATATTAACTATCCTCCAAAGGTCCATGGAGTTAGTATAGACTTAGCTTTCAGTGAAGGGAAATTGGGAGATGGTGGTACCTTATGATTGTGGAACCACCATCCTCATCAGGCTCTTGATGGAGACTGTGAAACTTCCTTTTCTTTATGCCTCAGTCAGGAAAACAATTCTGCCGCATCAATTCTGTTCCATTAGACTCAAACACTAAAACCTCTAAAACTACCTAGGCAGTGGTGTCACACACCTTTTAATCCCAGTACTCGGGAGGAAGAGACAGGTGGACCTCTGTGAGTTCAAGGCCAGCCTAGTCTACAGAGTGACTGCCAGGAGAGTCAGGACTCCATAGAGAAACCTCACCTCTAAAAATCAAAAAATTAAAAAATAAAACCTCTAAAACTTACTAAATAAACCTTTTTACTTTTTAAGTTGGTTGGCTCAGGTATTTGTTATATTGTCAGAAAGCTGACTAAGTAGCAGGTAATGTAAACATCTTCACAATATACAAAGAAGTGCTAACAAGGACATAAAGAGAATAGAACTTATTATTTCTAATGGAAATGCAACATGACATAGTCACAAAGATTGGCAGCTTTAAAAAAAAAAAGGTAAGTATGCACTTACTAAAATGCCTCTGGAGACAGAAAGCCTATATTCACACAATAACTTGTATTCAGATGTTTATGATAGCTCTATTCATAAACACCAAACAATGAAAATACCCAAATATGAGCCAGGCGGTGGTAGTGCATGCCTTTTAATCACAGCACTCGGGAGGCAAAGACAGGCAAATCTCTATGAGTTTAAGGCCAGCCTGGCCTAGAGTAAGTTCCCCGACAGGCAGAGCTGTTAACAGAGACACCCTGTCTCAAAAAACAAAACAAAACAGGAAATAACCAAATATGCTTCAAAGTGGCTTGCTTAAATAAATGATAAATAACAATGAAATATTATTCAAAATTAAAAACCTAGAAGAAATACACATATGAAACTTTAATGAATCTCAAGAGTATGCTAATACAAGGAACCAGCATCAAAAAGTTTACATACTGAGCTAACATATAGTGCAATGATAAGAGTGCTCACCTACTATATGCCCAGGCCTGGGTTCAATCCTCAGCAGCACCACTCAAGAAAAAAAAGAAAAAAGAGAAAGAAAGAAAGAAAGGAAGGAAGGAAGGAAGGAAGGAAGGAAGGAAGGAAGGAAGGAAGGAAGGAAGGAAGGA